TTTCCTTTTTCTTTTTTGACGGGATTGCAATAACATATTACAAGTATTAATTAGGTATCTTTTCTCTTCTGTCCGATTCCCATCACTCGGTGACTAAACTCGAGGGAAGTTCAAAAGTGGCAGCCACCATCCACCATATATCCACATGTTAGCTTCATATTTAATTCACCACAAATTGTTCGGCTTGCATAACAAAAGTGATAACTTTTCATCACCATTTTGATACCGACCTTGTTTTAGTCGATTTAAATACGCAATCAAATTCATAAGATAATAGATTATAGTGCATATTTATTGTTTATGATGATGGGAGTTACATGGTCCCCACACAGTATTGTTCCATAATATCGGATTATATGCCAAATGTCCCACGAACACGAAGATCTCGGGATTTATATGTCTTAACCTTGTCTCCAATTATTATCTGGCACTTCGGCTCCGCATCCTCGATCGTAGAGAGTGCTTACACGCTCCGATTAAGCTACATCATAAAGTCAGAAGATAACATGCGGATCTAGTGATTAGATTTGAGAAGCTAATATCCGGCATCATCAAATTACCAGCTAGGTTAATATAATACGATGTACCATATATGATATATATTTTTCTTACCGAATTCGTCTAACACCTTCTGAGGTAGATTGAATTCATGGTTGATGTGTGACTGAGTTTTAAATTACTAAGAAAAATAATTTATTTGTAAAAATTATCTGAAGTTCAGTTAGTAAGAGTTATTTTTAAAGTAAGTGTATATCTCTTAAATATTATATTTTCCTTATTTTAGAGAAATTAATATATCATGGACTTCACATTTGGATTATATTTAATGACTGTTTTGAACCTTGTAAATATAAGTCAAGTAAATAGCGACACAAATATAAATTGAAGAACTTTATACAATATATTGTCTATTAATAATAATAAGTACAACAATAATAATAATATTAATGGTATGTGTCAATTATAGACATTCTTCTCTTCCAAAGTCTTGATTGAGTTTGGTTATAAATGTAGTTTGAGGTTTTGACTGATATATGGTAGTGGGTTATGTAATGAATTTAATTTAATATAGTAATTTGTTTAGAAAGATGAGATGAAGGTATATATGCATATGTGTGATGTGGATGGATGGAATAGAGAGTTAAAAAAGAAGGGACACATCCCTTAAAGAGGTGAATGTGTGGGATGTTAATAAGTAATAAGAATAGACAAAAATGGGAAGGGGAGGAAGATTTGTCGTGAAGCAATTTAGGCTAAGAAGGTTGAAGCGTTGATGTAGAAGATAAGTATGTGAGGAAAATATTCTTTAAAAAGCGAAGGCACATGAATTCCCGACAAGTGAGAACGCTAGGGCTCTTGCCCCTCAATTTTACTTGAGTTGGAGACCGTGGTCTGTCGCTTTCTTCTGAGGTAGGGATCTTTGTCTTTTCGATCTCCCCCTCTCTCCTCCTCTCTCATTTTCACGCCTCTCTATTTTAACAAAAAACAATTTCTTCAAAACTTACACTTGGGTAAGTAGGGTTTAAATCGATCGGTATTTAATTTGCAAAAAACGCTCTAACATTCAAATTAAGTATTTTTCGTGAGAAGATCTTAATAAATTGAATTATATCCAAAAGTGTTTCTACTTTTGACATAAAACTTATATTTATAAGGTTTATAATAATAAAAATTATTAATTGATTATTATTGATCGTTAAAATATCCGTTAATAGTTCATTAATGTCTGTTATCACATTTGGAGACAGCGGTTGGAGACAGCGGTTGAATGTTCGTGAATGTATAGTTAATGAGGTAACGGTCGTTGTTGTAGAGTATTTAAGATTGGCATTGAAAGTCATTAAGAGGTAAATTAATGGGTAATATTCTCTGAAACCATATAAATAACCATCGAAGGAGAAGGTAAACTCTCGGTTTTTCTATAATTATATAGACCTGCAAAGACCAATTCTAACTTGTCGTCGTAGTGTTTCCTGCAGGTCACCCCATTTATACTGAGAACGAGCGTAAGGAAGGCGAAGGGCGAAGGACCGATCGACAGAGGAGGAGTGTTTTCGGACGGAGGCAGCAGGAGTTTTCCCCGGTCTCATTCAGCAGAAACAACATTAATTATTTTTTAACTACTTTTTAACAATTGTCTGTACAGAGCGATCATGCTCCATCAATAGTCGATTTACCTAAACGTATACCGATCGGCACACCATATAGTACAACTTCCTTTACATATAAACTATTTTACAAAACATCTCTAGTATAATTTCTTTATAATCTCCTTTCTTTAACTTTTATAAAAATCGATTCATGGATAAGTTAACGTTAAAAATTATATATATTTATAAATTAAAAAAAGCAAAACTTTCCCGAATTTTCCTACTTATAAGCCTTTATATAAAGATGCTGATTGTATTTTTCTAGCGTGTAAGCCTTTATATTAAGGAACTAGTTCAAACAACTGAATTGTTTGTATGACGTATTGACTCATTTTCCCGATTATCATGTGTATATCCCTATTGTGTCTTGTTATTGAATTGACGGTAATGTGGTTTATTTGAGTCTTAATGGATGCAAGATCTACAACAATCATTATCTATAATGCATATATAAGAAAAAGTGAACACTTATGGTCGTTTCGAAAAACTAAAGCAATTTTAATATGACAGGGTCAAGTTGTAAAGAGTCATATAGCATAAATTGCAAAGTTTTGAATAAGGGTGAAATTGAAACATGTTAACTATCTTGGGCCTGGCTTCGGCCTATACCTCGTCCATGGATCCAGTTAGGAAAAAAATAGATGTCAAAGTCCAATCCGTACCTTGGCTTGTTAAATAATCAAATACATATCTACAATTACGTAGTTGAAATACTATGAATATATATATATATATATAAAACGAATTCATTCTTCAATTATTTAAAATAACTCATCTTTTTAAAACATTAACTTATTACTTTATATAGCATGAGCTTATCCTGACCTTTATATAAGATTTTAAAGGTTTTTTTGGTTTCTGGTCAGATCACACAATTTGTGAGGTCGTGAGGTTTAAGATAATTTTCCTTGTTCATGTGTTAACTTTTAATAAGTTTTTATTTTTCTTTATTTGTATGGTTTCTTATTCTTACTATGGCATGCGTGAGTAAAAAGTATGTATTGATAGTAGTTTGGATTCCGTATGATGTGTTGTTAGCGAAAAAATTATTCTAAAATTAAGTTAAAGGTTTCTTAACTTTTATGATTTTTGGAAAATATTCATCACAAAACACAGTAATTTAAGGAAATGAATTTAACTGAATTTGGGAAAGAAATATAATTTGCTGAGATATATGTTCATTTTTATATAAGAAAAACAAGGTAGACCTTTAGGAATGTATTTTTTTAATTTTGGCTTCATCTGAAATTCGAAACAAGTATTGCGGTATTTGATTTCAGAATGAAAAGTATGTTATTTAAAAAGAAGTTGTTGAAATTGAGTAATAATTATACCGTCAAAACTTGATGAACCTGTATCATTTAATTTATATGCCTTGAAATGTTTTTGTTTATGTTGTATTGAATTGTTTCTTGACTATCTAGTTATGATTGATTACAGTAATTGTTGGTATTTAATAAAATGTTGAAACAAATTATTTAAATCAAACAATTAATTGAGTAACATGGAAGACAAGGTATTATATGAATTGAGAGAAAGTTTATTTTGGTTCAATTAGAAATAAAATTCATTTTTTATTCGAATAGGAAAAAAACAGGATTAAGGTTTTTATTACAAGCATTGAATTTTCGTATGCAAATTTTATACATAATTGGCTCATGAGGTTTTAATTTCATTCAACTTATGAGAAAATTTTGGTTAGAAAAGTAAAATTTGTTTAGTACATATTTCAAAAATGAAAGTCGTTTATTGAATTTTGATTTGGATCTTAACATGTTAACAATTTTTTCATAACAATTTCTTTTACAACGATCACATGTTATTATTTTATTAGTTTGTTTGAATTTATATTTAAAAAAATATTTTAAAAAAACCAATCATAAGTTACCAATTGTATGTTATTAAAATGTTATAAAAAAATTGTTAAAAAAACATTATACTTTTGATTTCAATGAACAAATTCACAAACAAAAGCTATAATTTTATATTTTCAATATTTTACATGTTTTCAAATGTTATATATATATATATATATATATATATAATACACCAATGTAATTGATTTATTTGTGAAACCTTAAAGGAAATATTGTTATATGCGTGGTGATGGCTAATAAAGTTTAATAGATTGAGTTTATTAGATATAAGTATATTTTTAGTTCTTAGACTTACATATAAAATTGGATTTTGTTTTAAAGTTGATATACAACTGGAATTTTTAGTTATTAGATATTGCTATAAACAGCTACATGTAAAACAAAACCCTTCGACTACAAACATCCATAAGTTGAGTGTCTCTTCACTTCCTCCTATTTCTAATTAAAAGTTTATTGAATTGATAGTCAATGATATGTCCAAGACAATTAAAAGTTAAAGAAAAAACTAAGAAAACCTCAATAATGTAATTAAAAATAAAAAGGACCCAAATCTCACAATAAAAACAATTAAAAGATTTAAAAGTACAAATATACAATTAAGCCTCAAATCAAAAAAGAAAGAGTCAAAATTTTCACGTGGCAAAGAGGAGAAGAATTTTTATATATATAATTAGGGGAAGGTAGCAGCACACTTCATACGATTTTGTGTGATAAAAGCAAGTATGCTTTTTTCTAACGAAAAAGAAAGTTTGTTTTTTTAAAGAAAAAAGTAAGTGTCCACACATTATGGAATTGATAATAGTATTTTAAAATAATCAATGATTTTATCATTATGATTATATGATTTTTTTTTTATATAATATAAAGTTTGGATACCTGCAGCGGATAGAAAAAAACGTGCAAAAATCCTACGGCTCAGTTTTGGATTGAAAAGGTTGGTGAGTGAGCGATATGATTGGGTGTGGTGTGGTCTGTGGTTGTGGAAGGCATGGAAACTTTATCCTCCGTATACTTAAAATGTGGGGTTTCATGGCCCAAAAACTTTCCAACTAACGCTAAACAAAGTCAGAAAAGCGGGTCAGGTTCAGACTCTGGGCGCCAACACGCACAGGGAAAGCCACCTCTCTACTTCGCCATAAAAACCCGCGAAACATCCAAGCAGGCAACACTCTCACCCGCGCCTACCCTATATACTTATCACTTTTTCAATTCCTTTTCTTAGGGTTCGTTGCAAACGCCGCATTCCGCTCCTCAGCTTCACAGCGCCATGGAGGATGTTAGGGCTACCTCCGCCTGGGTCGCCAGCCGCTCCTCCCACGTCCTCGTCGACTCCGCAGGTTCATTCCCTTCGTTCTCAGCCCTCCTTCTTTACCTTCCTACAATGCTTTCGAAAATGATATGATAATGCGTGTTTGCCTCTGGTATCGTTTTCAGGGATTGAGAAAGTGGTGAGCACCATTGAGTCCATTCCCAAGGTTGAGTGGGATTTCGAAGGGATTCACTACTTCGATAATGGACCACTCACCGTCCAGTACTTGTTTGTTCTAGACGCTTTAAATTTTTGCTTCTGGCCTGGTACGCTGCGTTTATTTTATTTTTTTCCTTTTATATGCACATTTCTTTCTGCCGTTGTTAATGCTTAGAACCTTTTAACATTACGGCGAAGACTGTGACTGGTTAATTGCACGCCTGAAAGTACCTTAATCGTATTGTTAATTGCTCTCTGTTTTGGTATTTTCTTTTAATTGCTATATTTTTTATTGGTCACGCTAAAATGAGTTCATACATAGCAAGAAGATAGCGTGACAGTTGTCATTGATTGTTTGTCTATGTATGTTGATTAGGAAGGCCTTTATTATCGTGTTACAGAATAAGCAAGTCAATTTACCTGCAGAGCGTGTTGTTGAAACTTGATAGATAGGAACATGGTTTGCGAATATGCACGAGGTGGCGAATTTGGATTGTTATTTCTGTTTAACTGTGTCGGGTTTGTGTGTGTTAGCCACTTGTGTGTTACCAATAGTCAGTGGTTCTATTCTTGGAGTGGACTCCACTATTAAATATTGCAGCTTACAAACATATCCATCACCATAGCTTTCAAAATTATAGATCTTATTATTGATATTATCTTACATTTATTCCCCTGTTTATGGTATATTTGAATAAAAAGCCATGATAAACTTCAATTTTTGGTTGTAAATTATAAGAAATGAAGACCATTTAGATAGAATGCCTGTGTTAGTTTCTGATATACGGGAGATTAGAATATTATTGATTTGTTTCCTTGGTTAGCTGATTGGAAACAATTAATTCTCTTAACTGTGCCATAACTGTCTCATAATTTTAGCACATATATTTTTTATCCTTGGTTAACTGTGCCATCTTTTCTATTATTTTTAATGCTCACGTCTCTTCTCTTTTGCTACCAGATGAGGATTTGAATTATGACGATTTGGCATCTGGGTTAAAGGCAGCTCTTCAAAATGATAAATCTGCCTTCGATGCTGATCGCCTGCAAAAGTACACCGGTAGTCTACTCGGACCTCGTACTGTCTGTGTAGAAATTAACTAGAGTATTTAGTTACGTGCACACTTTTGAATGGAAATGACGAAGGTTTCGACAGTTTCGTAACTTCATCATGTTTGTATTATCAACTGAAATTAACGTTTGTCAAAGTTATATTAAAGACATAATAGATACTACATGAATAATTGATATTAATTTGGGTCACTTAAAGGAAATTACGCCCAAATAGTGAACAAATGCTCTTTTTATGCTGACAGGTCGGAGGCAATAATTTTTGTTTGGCACATGTATGCTTGCTTAAGATGGTTCAGCATTGACAGCATTGAAATTATAGCTTTTCATATGATAAAACCAAATAAGAAATTTGTGGTTAAGTTACAGTATTTTCAAAAGGCATCTTTATTTGTCTGCTTGGCCCTATGGTTGATGTGCTTGCTTCAATGCTTCCGATGAAGAAATTTTTTTCTACCAACGTAGCATAATTGAAAATGAGTTCATAATGTTAGGTCCACAATTGCGCGAGCTTTTGAGGTGGCCTAGACCCCTTCCTTTGGAAGATGAACGAGTTAGGTTACTTCATGAGGTAAAACAAATCATTAGCAGTGCTACCTTTAACACAACTACATCCATCTTTTTTTTGGTTACACTGTTTCTGTTGTATTTTCAATCCTGTTAATTTAGTTCTGGTATTAAGCATGTCTTGAAGTTTGATGGCACTGTGTATTACTGTCCGTTTCTTTTTCTAGGTTGGGATTGAATTGGAAAGGAACTTTGAAGGTAAAGCATCTAATCTTGTGCAGTGCTGTGGAAAATCAGCTGTGAATCTTGTCGCTCTAGTTGCACGCCATTTTCCTGGTATAGTTGTTTTTCGCTTAGTTTGTTTCTCAAATTCTGAAATATATATAATGCCCAATTTATGTGTGCTTCTGTTTGAAGTTGCTATGAATTGTATGCAAAGTATTTAATTTGTTGACTCCAATATTAATTGGTTCTAGGTTTTAGAGACCATACAGTGTACAAGGGACGCCAGGTATTTTTATACAAAAGGGCTCAGATATTTGCAGCAGATTTGTGGGGTGCATTTGGGGGACAAGGATATGGTGAGTTTAAAGACATCGGCTCTCTAACTATAATGGCGGACTATATTGTCCCAGCTGTGCTTCGGCAGCTTGGTGTTTTAAAATATAGTCCAGCACTGACCAGTACTATCGAGTCCAGTGGAGAAATAGGTCCAGGGACTGAGGAGGAAGTTGAACTGCGGGCTTGCTCTGTACATGCGGTGGAGAAAATGCGTGAGCTTATAAGTAAAAAGTCAGGAAGACAGGTTAGTCTTTTCTTACCGGAGTATCTCCACCTCATGGGCAATTTCCGATGCATGTAGAGTTGGATTTCTTCTAAGGTTATTTAAACTCAAGTGTCATAAATAAACAATTATTCACTGTTGGTTTGTTGCATGTCCATTTTTTAAAAAATAATTGAATCATTTTGTTAAATTATCTTTCTCCAGAAACATTTACACGCAAAAAGGAAATACTGCGCAATTTGTCTGTTATGGCTCATGTGTATTGTGCGCAAGTTGTTTATCTTATATGAAACTGAAAAGGCCTCTCTGACTTTTATATACAGGTTCTAAGTGTGGAGCTGGATCTTTGGCTCTGGGCTGCTGGTGTTCAGTGCACATCTCTGCAACACCACCGAACACTTTCAATATATTACTGAGCACATCATATATGGTAATTTCTAGTTATTAAAGAAGAAAATTTTGGCTGTTTTAAGGGTAATTATTTAGGATAGTGTGAATAACTACCTCCTTTTGAACTTATGTTTTTGGATCAGCTTTTGTAATTTTGCAAGAGATACGTTGCCTCGTGCCTTCAAATTTAATTTTGAATAGACTTTTTATTGAGATTTTAGGACCTAACTTATGTTTTTGGATCAGCTTTTGTAATTTTGCAAGAGATACGTTGCCTCGTGCCTTCAAATTTAATTTCGAATAGACTTTTTATTGAAATTTTTGGACCTTATAGTTTACCGCAGAAGGTGGTTAATATTTACTGTCAGATACTCAAATATAACTGCTGTGATAACCGAGGTTGCAACAGCAGGTGTCATTTTGACCTGTTTCAGTATATATATATATATATATATATATATATATATATATATATATATATTATATAGACACACACACACAGGGATAGAGAGAGAGAGACTTCCTACCTTTTATCTTAGGAGAGTATTGCTTTTTAGTTTGTGGGGACTGTTTCATTCTGAGTGTAATAATCCTATAAGTACCCAAACTTGTATGGGTGGTCAATGTCATTGAGTACAACTCGCTTGCTCTTAGCAAACGCATGCAGGTAGTGTTGCCTCGTTCACCGTCCACTGAGAGAATATCTATTCAATACGGCCTATCTCAAATATTCGGTTGATCGGAATGGGAGTAGGACCCATCGATGCAATATATTCTTTCTTTCTACCCCATTAATATCATGCCTTGCCACTAGAAAAACAATCTTTTCTTTCTAGAATCCGTTTCTATTTACATAGGCATATTTTTGTATAACCCCGGATAACCTCTAAACGGAGGACCCTAGCTGCTTATTTCAACATAGATGTGATCCCATCATTCTACTGAACTCTAATTAACGCCCTAGGAGCATCTTCGGTTGTTTGAAACAAACTCTTCCAGGAAGGAAATTTTATTTCCCACTCCAAAACTTTTTAAAAAAATGTTTGTATATATCGCAATATTCAATATCATTTCCCCCCACCGTTTCCTGGCATTAAATTCTGGGTTCGTGCTGCATCCCATTTTGGTGACCAAGTTTTTATACGGACGTCTTTTTTTAGTCCTTCGCAATTGGAACATTTTCTTGGAACAAATAGGTGTAGCCTTTGTTTGATAAAATTAATTAGTAGTTCATAAGTTAACTTTTAGATAAAATTGATTATTTGATGGCCACTCAAGTCCCTTATCACCAGTGCAAGAGAGTATAAAAATATTTTTTAGAATAGTGAAAAACACGTATTCATTCCGATTTGTAATAGTAGATATGACACTTCGTTATGTGTGAAAGAAATAGTAGTCACTTGTGAGAAGTTTATGTGGCTCGATTGAAACTAACTGGGGTTTGAAATGGCTTCTAATTGTCGATTGGCCAAGACTCGTGAGAAAGTGACAATGTTAATTTTTCCGGTAAAATTATAACTACGCGCGAAACCAACTATGTAAGTCTTTCAGATATAGTATTTTGTTTAGATGATGATTACGAAGTGTGTTCAGTATCAGTCACTGCTGGATAAATTAGATAGTTTCTATGGTTAAACATGCACGACCAATTCAAGTTAGCTTAGGTTGATGACACTAATAGATATGATTCAAAAGGCTTACATGCACACAAAGTCTCCCGTTGAACTAAAACAAACCAATCCAGTAATCGTGTGGCTGTTGGTAGGGGGATTGAAAATTGGACGACAAACAAAATATTTAATCATATAAGTAGTGTTTAATACCTACGTAATGCAATACAGTTTATATTGATTATTTGATTGAAAGATTGCATTGTTTCTGTTAATTATGTTCATGTGGAATCAGAACTGGTGCAACCGAAAACTTTACTCAACCAGAAGGCAGTATTTACAAGAAAGTTGAATTCCCTTACCATTTAAACGCTGATTATTGTTTAGGGTTGACGAATTACTGATTCCTCGTGTTCCATCGAACGATATCTTTTTTTTTTGTCAACAGACATTTTTAATTATCTTCTTACATCGTTATCAGTATCAGTTTGCAGTTATTGTTCTACATTTATGGCTGGAAAAAAAAATTGCAGTTTATATCTAAAAACAATTATAATTAGGAATTCACCAGAAAGAGATCAACCTGCTTGATGCTATAGAGTATGAAGGAGAGTCCGTTCTGTTCCCCGAGGCTTCTCCCCATCCATAAAAGGAATCACTACCTTTAGACCGTACCCAGCGTTTCTCTAAGCGGGTATGGTTGTAGGAAATAAATAGTATGTGTGTGTGTTCAGTGTGAGGATTCTCTTAATGGTGTCCATGTACCTTCACTTTCAGAAATCAGGTGTAAATGCAAAAGGTGATGGTTTTTTACAACTACTAGCAGTGGCGGGTGGCAGCAACTTTGTTTCATCTTTTTTACCTCCCCTGTTCTTTAGTGGGTAGAACCACTCACCATCCTAGTAAGTTTTAAACTTTCATTCACATTTTTCTTTTTCTGTTTTATTTTACTTGGTTAAATGAACAGTCTGATTTCGCTTCTGCCCATGCATAATACTTTTGCTTAGGTAATTTTAGGTAAAGTCTATGCCACTCGTGAGGGAATAATATCTGTATTGCATATCGATCATCCGATTAATCCCACGAAATTTACTCCATCCGTGTCCGTAAGAATCACATTCACATCAATTATATATACACACATTTATATACCTATATCAGACTCAGAGGCAGAATGAATATCTCTGTACACCTAATAAAAAATAGTTCTATCTAAACAGTGAGAATTATATAAACACGAAGTAGTACTGTGAAACTTTGAAAATCTGGTTTTGTTTAAAAACGTCGGATAGAATAGTCCAATTAAACAGAATTTGTTTACTCGAGAATTGAGATGCCGATTGATTTGAAGAGGAAGGACAACCAAGCAAGTTACTTTAGATTAAGAGACATGGGGACCTAGCCATCAACATCATGATTTGTTGGTGGAATCAGACTCAAGCTAATCCAAATGTATGTTGGTAATACAGGGGCCCACATATCGGAATCTTTAGGATATTGCCTACATTTTTACCATGATTTTAGCTCTTTGTTTCTATTGTGGAGATTAATATATTACGCCTCTTTTTTTTTTCTTCTTTCTTTTCTATAATTGATGATGGTCCTCAATTCTGTACATTGTTTATTATTTAACATCTTACCTTCCAATATAAGTTAACTCAGCACCTTTCCCTGGGTAATTCTAACCATTTTATCTCAACAGTTTATACTTCACACGTCGGTCTGCAATAGTGTATAACAGTTCTCTCTCACTTTTGATAGAATCAGATCAAGCTATATCAGTGAATCATGTAAATTCAGACTACTATCTCCTTTACTGACTTACTAAAAAAGTAGTGTTTAACATAAAAATGTCATGTTCAGGCTTACAAAATTTAACTTGATTCATTTTCATCATAGGCCCTTGGTAAAAAAAAAGGACGTATGATGAAGCTAGGAATGTTTATATGCACGTTTTCATAAATCATAGGTAAAATCATGGCATGATGCATAATTTGAAGGGTTTGGACGGCTCATATGTCAACAAGCAATGCTTGATGTTGATGCGCGGACCCCTTTGGAAAGCTTTTTACAAAAGAATAGTGATTGCAGTTTTCCAAAACATGGTTTTATAATTTACCCCTTTTGTTAGAGGTGAAATTTGAAATCGACGTGTGCGATGGCGAAATTTCTTGTAGAGATTTTATATTTATATGGTAGAGAGAAAAGAATCTCAATATCACATCCAAATAAAGTTACAAAAACCTCCCTGTAAAGTGTCAACCAATAACCCAGCAACCCAAATATATAAGCAATCCTGATGAGGCCCTAAACATTAAGTCTCTGTATTGTAAGAGTATAACACTGTTTTCTTCTATATGCAACCTCACTCAATTTTATATAATATATATTATAATATCAAGATAATTTCTTAAATTTGGCATCTTCTGAAAAAACTCAATAATAAATATCTCATTAATTCAACATCTTATTCATGAAAAACAACATTGGTAACTTAACTTTACTTCTTTACGCCATTGTGGTTTCTTGCACTTACTTTATAAAGTTTGATATAATAATCTCCTCCAACTAGTTAAGTTATAAGTGAAGTTACTACTGATGAGATAAGTTTATGAACTTAGTATATAATTAGCTACCATAGCATTTAGTATGCACTCAATAAACAACATTATGGATATTGTCTCATCATGTGTTTCATATCATCACATACATAAATTTTGTATGCATTTATCCATGTCATTAATAGAAACATTTTTTACCATACATATAAGCATACATTATTAATGTGATGTCATAACGGTTAAGAATTCAAATATAAATTTAAGTGTGTATAAATGCTAAACTTACATAATATAAGGAATAAGTTTCATTGTTTAAAATTTTTGAATTAAATGTAGTATCAATCCGGATTCAACTAAAATTTTATTATTATCGTATCTCTCTCTGGTGAATTTTTTCAAAACACCTTTTAGTGATATGAGAATTTTAAAGTTTTCTTATGAAAATTTAAGCAAACGTGTGTTTCGTTGTAATAACAATACTACAAGTTAAGATCATTAATTAGAGCATTTCTTATAATTTGATAAGAAGTTGAAGTATATACATAGAATATGAAAATTGGAAGGTTAAAAGGTGATACTTTTTTTAATATAAATGCCATCTAGGTAGGTCACCGTCCTTGCATGGATAAGTAGATTAGATGAGAACAACAAAGAAGAAACTTTGTCTCTGTCGCTAAAGTCAACACCGTGACTCAATGATCAGTCATCTGATAGAAGTTGCCTGCAATTCCATCCAATGCAGCCGAGGGGGACAGGATAACAATTCTTCATCATGAAATCAGAGACGTACTTATTAATATTTATAATATTTCGTTTCATTTTTCACTAAAGATATTATTTTCTATTTTGTTTTCTCTTTCTTTTCTTCCATCTATGAATATTTATCATTTCCTATGTAGTAAATTCTAACAAGATGTAATTAGAAAAAAGAAAGTGAAGCAAAATGATAAGGATGCCATGTCTGTCACGACAAGGACATGTTGATGCTTCTGGTTTAGAAGTGCTTCCTCATTCTCTCTCTTCTTCACTCATCGCAATGG